CCCCCCCACTCCTGCAATTCTAATGGGCAACTCCAAACCAGAGAGTCACATTTGCTGACCTTCAGAATTATTGACAATAAAGTACATATGGCTAAAAAAACCTACAGTGTTTATACATGGCATTTCTGAATGAATTGGGTGTTTTTCTTAAATGGCCTGTGACATTTAACATTGAAAACTATCTTCCATGCGAATCAAGTGTCTCTTGAATAGAGGAGTTGAATAGAAAAGAACCCAAAGTTAAGATTTTTATCTATTCAGTGATGAGCCTCCAATACATTTAACTAAATTATGATGCTCCATAATTTATCCTGCTTCTAAGAATCATTTTACTCAGTGATGAAATGAGAGAGAGAGAGAGAGAGAGGCACGCTCTGAACAAAAGCTGACACAAGAGAATTTGGATTCAAGTGCTGAAGCTTTAATCAAAGTTATTCATCATGAAAGGACAGACATGAAATCCTTGGGCTCTACACTGCCTTTTACTTCCAAGACGCCCACATTCTTGTGTGGCCTGTTTCTTAGATTGCATGATGTGTTAAAGAAAACAGGCCTCATTTCTTCTGATCACGATAACAAGCCAGACTCTAATTAATGTCAAGAACTTTCTGGCAAAGAATTATAATGGCAAAGAATTCTGTTCTTGCCATAATCATTAAGGGAATTCTTTGAGTTTGCTTATTTTTTATTTTTTTGTTTTCTTTTCTTTCTGAAAGATGCTAAATATGCCAGGAAGTACTGTGCTTTGATGCTTGGGGCACAGTCCTTTTCTTTTTATCACGGGCATTTTTTGCATGCACAGAGCAAATTCCCTCACCGGGTGTCAAAGTGGCCCTGGATGTTTACTGTGGGAGCCGAGGAACCCTTCAGCCAGTTTTCACAATGTGTGCTGCTCCTGGGCCCCTTTGGGTGCCCTTTCCTCAGGACAAATCTCTATTCTTTAAGGACTCACAGCCCTGGAGTCTTTTCCCCAAAAACGCATGACTTTGAGTGTACCCACAGGCCTAAGCAGAACAACGTGAAATACTGACACCCTGACCCAGTGGTCAGTACCTCCCTTCAGTGTGGGCACGCTCAGACAGAAATAAGGCTTGATGAAGCACACTTCTGAGGGGAGAGTTGTTATTTGGAACACAGAACCTTGACTTCTGTAATTAAGGCTTCCCAGGACTGTTATTCTAACAAAAATACCTAATGTTTATGGAGTATGCATAATATGCGAGGCATTTCCATAGACTTAGTTCATTTAATCTTCACCACATTCCCACGGGGTAGGTTCCTATTCTTACAGATGAGAAAAGAGGAGCTCAGAGAATTGCTCCTAGCCAGATAGATAGCAATCAGTAGAGGGGCTCAGATGCAAGCAGTTTGACTCCAGAGCCCTTTTGGACAGTAACTTACTTTTGGAATGAAAGAATATAGATAGATAGATGATAGATAGGTAGGTAGGTAGATGATAGATAGGTAGATAGATAGATAGATAGATAGATAGATAGATAGATACAGATAGATGAAAGAATAACGTGGATAGAATAACAATAATAATGCCTACAAAAGTTCTTTAACTCAGAAATTTATATGAAAATCTTAGAAGTAGTAGTTGAGAATGACTGGGGCTAATTTAAAATATATCATAAGCTGTAAAAAAATGTACCGTGAGGTTTTTCTGATTTCTCTCTGTAGGGAGTTGATGAAAACCTTTCACCAGGTGGAGTTAAGAAAATCATCTTTCCTCTTGTCTAGTCTGAATGCTCCCCTTGCTGTTCACTCCCAGATTCTATTTTCCTCCCGGTGTCCTTCCCTCAAGGAGACTTGAAATTGCTCAAAGTTGATTTTAAGTATCACGTCATTATCAATAGGATACTAAGGAGGTCCTGCTGTAGATATTTTTTTAACTCAGTAAATGGTGTCTCTCCTGTCCCTCTCATCCCCGCCCCTACCCCATTTGCACAATCCACAATCCTGTTACACTTCATTTATATCTCTATTTCAAGAGCTCCGTGTCCTGCATCAGTTTTTGTGCATGTTCTGCCCTGTGTGGCAATGTCAACATTATTTTGTTTGGCTCCTTTGGGCATGAAGTGATCTATAGCCGGCACTGTTGGTGCCCCATCCATATCCTCCCAGCGTTCACTCACTGACGACCGAGAACACTGTGACTCTCCATCTCAGGAATTTCTTTCTAACAGGGAGCCAGAAGTGTCAGAGTTAATGACCCTGAGAGCAGAATTCAATCCATTGACAGATGGGGAATTGGAAGAGAAATACTCTAACTTCCTCACTCCTGGTTGATATACAGGGAGCCAGAAGTGTCAGTTAATGACCCTGAGAGCAGAGTTCAATCCATTGACAGATGGGGAATTGGAAGATAAATACTCTAACTTCCTCACTCCTGGTTGATATAACTCTAGGGCATATTCTACATCGTTTCCTAGAGGTATGCAGGTGCCATGGTCAATCCATGCAATACCATCAGACACACCCCTAGCCAGAGCAGGCCTGGCGTGCTTCTGTTCAATCATTTCACATGAAGGCTCAGTGGGGCGTAGAGAGGAAGCTAAGGCAGGCTGATGCCAATGTAATTAAAGCATCCTATCTAATAAAAGGGTAATATGCAAATTAGCCATCACTCCATCACAAAGATGGCAGCACCCAGTCCTCTCAGTGAGTCCCCCAGACCTGGGGGGGGGCGGGGGCGGCCGCTGAGAGCAGGCAGCATGAGTGGCCTGGTAGAATGCTTGCTTTGTCACTACGGCAACAAAGCAAGCATTCCACACCGGCCACGGAGGGCCTCTGGGCAGTGGGAACGGAGTGGCCGGTGGGTGGGGGGACGGGGACACGCTTGTCTATAATAATAAAAGCATAATATGCAAATTGACCAAATGACCAAACAGCAGAACAACTGTCCGGACAACCATGTTATGATACGCACTGGCGCCAGCCAAGGTGGGTGTGATGCGATTGGTCAGGAGGGCCCCACCATTGCCCCAAGATCACCCTGCAGAGGCAGGCCCAGGCCACCCCCTATGGGCCAATCAATGGGTGGGGAGGGCTCCGCAATAGATCACCCCAAAGAGGGAGGCCCACTTTTAGAGATGTACCACAAAGGAAAAATATTATACACACAAACTCTGTAATAATTATTACTATAGAGTTATTGTGATATTATTTACAAAAATAAAGGGTTAGAATTAACCCAAATGTCTATCAGTAGGACACTGTTTTAATTTAAAAAAAAAACCTTATATTGCATCTACACAATAGAATCTCTGCAGCTATAAAAAAAATATTAAGGTAGCACTTTGTATATTTGATATAGAATTATTTTTAGTATACTTAATGTGCAGCATAATATAAATAGTATGCTGTTTTAGTTAAGAAGGGGGAACACATATATATGTATTTTTATGCTTATATTCTCACATTTTAAACATGAACGTTTAAATCAGGCATCATTAAAAATGGTTACGCACGGGAGAGGTAGAAAACAGTGGAAGGATCAGAGTTGGAGGCAGTATTTCTCTCAAGATCGCTGCTCTAGTTTGATCAGAAGTACTTTGTTAACTCATTCAAAGAATAAAGTCAAAATGAAAAAAAGAAATCTCTATAAACTGAAAGCAAGCTGGAATAAAAAAAATTAATTGTTTGAGATACTGGTAACATAACCTCACAGAGAAAGAAAAAACTTCAAGTAACTTCATAACACAGTAGTTTGACCACATATCCTTAGTGGGATATAGTTAGTAACTGCAAATAAACGTCAGCCTCATTCTGGAGTTTTGTTAGTAATGGGAATATTTATATTGTTATTACTGCTATTTTAAAACTATTTTATATATTGCAGGATGAAATAAGTAAGCAATTATGTTAATATGATAGAAAACCAACACTTTTAGAATAAAAATAGATATGGGAATAAAATTAAACAAATTAAGTAAAAGTTCTCAAATCATATTAAAATTGGAAATATTAGTATAAACTCATAATCTTTAAAATATATTTTTCTGCCTCTGCTCACTGAGGAGTCCAATAAAAATGAGCATCTCAATACCCAGAGTTATTTTTCTAAATACCATCCCCAACTCTCAGGACAAAAACCAAAAACACTAACAAAAATTCTTGGAGAAATGACTAATTCCAGTTTTGTAGAGAAAACAAATTTTAAAAAGAAAGAGAATGCACAATATGACCCTGAGACATTTTGTTATGCCAGAAAGTTACAGAACGTTTTAAAGATGAATGGAGTCACATCTAATGGACAGGGGAGCCAGCTTGGCAGGGATCGCAATTTAAGAATAAAAAAAAGAAGAAACACTGATTGAAATCACATGAAATATTAAAATATCCAAGAGTTTATGATGATACTCATCATTACAAAAAAGAGAAAGTACTTAAAAATACTCTGCATCCATTGGAAATAGCTGTGCATAGACTACCCCTTTCTCTGATGGTCATTAAAGGGGAAGAAAGGCATTTTGGGTGCTGTTCTTACACAAACACTATTGAGAGCATCCACGTAGCCCCAACTGATGTCAGAAAGTGCTGCTTTATAGACCACTTCCCTGATGAGTAATGTAGAAGAAAGGGCAGGATCCAAAAACATCTATTTTGCAATCACTAATGAAATAATGCGCTATGGGTCATCAACTGATGCTAAAACCCTAGGAAAAAAGGTGCATGAGAACTAGATATTTGCAGAGTGCCCAG